GCCTGTGTTAGAATCGGTCTAACAATTAACACATATGATTGTTGTTTTGCCTTCAATTTTTGTTGGGAAATAAATGTTTTCGTTAACTGCTTGTGCTTGTCAAACAGAGTGGATGGGTAAAGTAGTAGAATAGAAGGACTGATCTTAAGTTTCATGTGTATGAAGACATTTTATGATGCAGCCTATGTTTTATCCCTTAGCTGTAAAAACAGACTCAAAAAAGATAGCAGGTTGTTTTGTTGAATTAGTTAACCCGTATAGGTATATGCCAGTGAAGACTGCATGGCGAGCCAGTGCATTTCGTGTTTATCTTTCGAAGATGGTGTAGTTTCGAGCAGTTATTCGTTTATTTGCATGAGTCATCACTCTCTGTAGGGGAAAAATTTTCGGAAAACTTCCTTACATAGAACGCAAGAAACTTATGAATTTTCTGATTTGTTCAGTGTTCAGATCATTTCGCTATTTCAGCTAACTGTATGCAAGAGAGAATTATAACAAGGGTTTCCAAAGACAGGGGTTTCAAGCTCATTTTTGAAATGGCTTTATCGGGAGTTATTTAATAGCTCTTTCTGTTATTCTCACGTGATAAGATCGGAGCTCTCTAAACCTGGTCCTGATGCGCAGGGGAGACTTGTCATTTGTTTTCGCCCTGATCAGTTCTTCAAGTGCATGGACTTGGGGGCATCGAAAGAGTACATATTAAGAAGCCATTTCGAAGAAATTCGTTTTTCAAAATTTTTCACTGGTTCTGGGTTTTTACACAATGAATGGTAAGGGCAAACTCATCCAGGAAATGTATCTGTTCTAACAGCGATCCAGTAGTGAATTGCTAGGGGCTGCGTTCATGGATGCAATCCAGTTCCCCTTCCTCCTATACGTGTCACCTGTCCTTGTACCAAATTCATTGTTTTTATGCGTTTTTGCTGTGCAACGATAAAGCGCTGTAACAGCTAGCAAAGACGCATATTGCAACGAACCTGTCTGTGTGTGTGTGTGGGTGTGTGTGTGTGTGTCTGTATGTGTGTGTGTTTGTGTGCATGTGCGTGCGTGCGTGTGTGTGTGTGTTCGGCTGTCCGGGTGTTTCAACTCGCCAACCACGCAAGCTTTGAAGCTGGAGTTTTGCCAGTGTGTTTCCCAGCCAAATACCACTCCAGGACCGCGGTGTCAACTCCCACGTACGACTAGGCCCCGCGTACGAGCACGTGAAAGTTTTGGCGCGAAAATCGCTAACTCGGGAACGAGGAAATCTAGAAAGCTGAAATTTTGAGATTGTGTTCCTCGTCCACTTGTAACTCAAAGATTTCAAATTCAGCTCCCGGTTGTGCATGGTTCCTTCGTACGGCCCCGCGAAAGTTCCTGGCGGGAAAATCGCTAACTTGGGAATCAGGAAAGTTAGTAGACTGAAATTTTAAGAAAATTTTTCCGGCTCGTGTACAACTTAAATTTATCAAACTCAGCCCGTAGGCGTGCGTGTTTCATACGCTACGGCCCCGTGAACGTTTTTGATGGGAAAATGATTAATTCAAGAACCAGGAAAGCTGGGAGGCCAAAATTTTTAGGGGGTGTTCCCCACCCACGCACAACTTAAAAGTATCAAATTCAGCCACCAGGCTTGCGTAGTTCTCACGTACGGCTCCGTAGAAATTTTTGGCGGGAAGAATTGCTAACTCAGGAAAGAGAAAAACTGGAAGGCTGAAATTTTCAGGGTTTGTTTCCCATCCAAATACAGCTTAAAGATTTCAAATTCAGCCTCCAGTTACGCGTGGTTCTCGCGTGCTGGCACTTAAATTTTTAGCAGAAAAATTACTCATTGAACAGCTGGGTCATTTTCAAATAAAAACGATAGCTAAACGGAATTATTTTTGTTTATATAAAATTTACGATGATTTACGGTATTGAATGTACAAGGCAGGTGTGAAGAAACAACCATTTGTGGAGTTGACCTAATTACTTCAATTTAGATGCAAGATGCGTGGTGCCACCGGCTTGCCTGTGCGTTCCAGCCTGGGTGTTGCTTTATGAGTCGTGATCGCTCGTACAAATTCGGAATTAGGGGGACAATCGAAACACGAGAACAATACAAGCCATGAATCTTGAGTATTGGTGCTGCATTTGTGCCATGTCGTTGATTAGGACGAACTCCAGTAAGCTTAGTTCTGGAGGCAGACAAAGGCGCGCGCCTCTGATTGGCAGTTAACGAAGAATTTATTTTGTACGGGTGGTGGTAGCCCGTTTCTTCGCCTTTCAGGTACGGCTGTCACCTACTATTTAACTGAAGTGTCACAGCCCTCCCACACATCAAGGCGGTGGCACACTTTTCCGAAAACGTGTTCCCTGGGGCAGCACTGTTCGATCCGGATTCAGCAATTCCGTTCTGATGCCAATGCAGCAACACTTTCTTGTGTTGTACCTCGTCCTCTGCCTACTGTTCGTCTGCCCTACCCCCAGGTCAGCTTCTTCTTTCAGTTCTTTTCAGCTTCAAGTGACCAGTATCTCTAAAAGAAAAATGCATGACCATTATTTTTATGCATTGCGCGCAACAGGACTTAGGTTATACCAGGGATATAGAGGAGATTTGGCACAGCCACACATTTTTTTTGAGAGAAAAACAAACGCATGAACATTGAAAATGTGAATGTAACTGAAGCAGGATATTTCACTTTGCTCAAGCTTTAACTTCACCCTGACTAAATTTCGGATCTCTTTTGTAATAAAATTTCCTTTTGTGTTTTGCGCAACTTGGCTCAGCTTTTCCATTTGTGTACATTCTTGTCCAATACATAATTTTACTCCCTTCCATGCAAAAGCGAAAAAAATAGCCTTTTTCCTCTTTTTGGCATCGCCACCCATTTCAGTTCGTTCTGCATTCATTTCAGAGCGGATTGCCCAAGGAAGCGAAATCGCGGTGGAGATGATGTCGCTTCTTCCGGGAAAGCCGACGCGA